AGGATTTTTGAGGCCGATCACCGATTGCCGATCACAGAAAGCAGTATCTGTCGATACCGATCACCAATATCGATATTTTTAAAGCCATTTATTCAGGGTGGAGGGGAGCATTTTTTAGAGATTTTTCAAAAATATATATTTATCTCACCTAAATGTTCGATCATGAAGTGCATTTTTGTTTTTACAGTCATGCAATTGTTGCACAATAGCTTACACACAGCACAATGCAGTTGCTCAAGCAAGTGGCAAAACATTTAAATTAGCAATCCTGCGGTTCATAAAGAACTGTTTTTCTACCTCCACGAGTGCCATCTATTATTGCCTTGTTTATCTAAAAGTGCTCTTTTCCTTTAAACCTAGCCAACAAGCCATATGTGTTGACAAACACAGCAAACTTTAATTATATATGCATTTATGGTGTAATTACTACATTTTCGTTTTCATATTTACAGCAAACAATGCGCTGTCACTTTAATTCAGCGCGTGCAGCAGAAACTATCTCTGCACTGCTGCAGACGCACCACTCATGGAACGCACTGCCGGACCGCGACTGTGTGCCGTCACTGCCGTGTGAATGCTTGTGTCTTGTGTTTCGTGTCTCACAGAAAAATTTCAAATTACTTATATGAATTGTACCTCACCTTCAGCATTATAATTATTTCACCCGTGCCAGACTGAGATGGTGCCGCTGCATGTCGTGCCAAACCTCACACGGCAGACGCATCATCAGCTTGAGATCGGCCATTATAGACCGCCGATCAAACATCCCAAAGCGATTATCGGCCGATAGTGATCGGACGCCGATCAATCAGAGCACCCCTATTGCATAATATTAATAATTAGTAGTAGGGTTTTCTTTAAATAAGATTTTTTTAAATCGACAAAATAATATTATTCACAGATTTAATGAAAATATAATAAAATAAAATTTGGTTTGATTTTTATGTGAGATGATCTGGACTTGTTTTGACAGGTGTCATGAGATTCACCCGAAAAATTTTTTACTAGTTTACAGGTTTTACTGATACTTTCTTTTTCTTTTTTTCTTTTTTCCCCCCAACAGTGAAGTGTCAGACTGTTTTGCTGTAGACCAACTAACCTCATTTTAAAGTTATAGAATACTGATTTATTTATTTTTTTTATCCTGTTAACCTGTTAACTAACTGTTTAACTACTCAAAACCATTAAGAAACTACAATTAAATTTTTCAGAGATCGACCCAGAGAAGTGACCGGGTTTATCACATGCGTTTTTTCCACAGCCCGTTTGCGTACGTGGACCCGTTGCATTGTAACATGGCGTATTTGTACCTTGAGCTGCTCAAGGATTCCCTGAACGAGTATGCATATGCAGCCGAGCTAGCCGGCCTGAACTATGACCTTCAAAATACCGTCTATGGGATGTATGTAAGTATCCTAATATTCCCCCATGCCACTGTTTCCCAACATGCTCCTCCTGTGAGGGCGACAGTTCAACTTCACACACAAACAAATGACTACCAGTGGTTGCTGTCCTTGCGGTTGTAACCCCAAATCTTTGTTTGTGGCCTTTACACAGTTAAAAACTCTTCTCATTCTTTTAGTGTTGTTTTTCCGGATGTAGAAGTAGACTAGCTTTAGATAGTCACCGGAGCTGAGGCTGCATATTCATACTCTGTCTGTGGTCCCTCTCAACCTGTTTCCTTTTGTTTTGTCATGACCCTTCCATCGAAATATCACTCCATTTGTTCTTTTTTACCCTTTTCTTTTTGATTTTTTTCCCATCCTGCTAGTCGCTACCTATATGCAGACCCGCTGCACTGCAACATGACTTACCTGTTTCTCAGGTTGTTGAAGGATGATTTGAGAGAGTATACATATGCAGCCCGCCTGGCAGGGTTGGTCTATGGCATAGCGTCAGGAATGAATGCCATCCTTGTAAGTATGGTAATTAGCCCCTCCCCCTTTTGAAAGGGGTGGGGCTTCTGGTGAAGGGCGGAGCTTGAGGCTTATGAGTGTGCAGGGTCGCTTGTCTGTTAAATTCTGCTGCTTTCTGCAAAGTAATAGGATGTTATACCTTCAAAATATGTCTAATCGGTCTGCTAGAATATTTTGAAAAGGGTTATTGTATTTTGTGTTGGGTTTAGGTGGTTTTAAAGATACACGCCCAAAAGAACAGAACAGAAAAAGAGAATAAATGCTTGTCAAGCACAATGACAAAACACCTTAAAGTCAGTCCATATGACTTGTGGCGCTATATTTCAATTCTCTTGTATTCGTTTGAAAGATTTGTGGAAGAACAGAGGAAATTGAGTTAATTCCCTCTGCTGTAGTCCTTTTTTATTTTGCGCTTGCATATATTAAAATGGACATTTCTAGACGAACCATGTTTAAATGTTAGTAACATCAAATGTCCATGTTTTTGACCAATCGTCAGAGTTTAAACCCTTATTTGTGTTCACACAAATCTTATGCTGAAGGTCAGAAAGGAGAAAATAAAATAGTGACCCAGTTTTAAAGACACTTTCCACATCTTTTGGGCTGTATCTTAAAGCAGTGGTTAATGTTGACATGTTTGTCTTCTTCAAAGGAAAGGCTTTAATGTAAAGTTTATGATGGTTGACTTAAAGCACTGTCAATCTAATCAACTAACTCTGCACTTTAAGACTTCCATCCAGACTATTCCAAGTGTTTACTGCTGTTCAGAGGAATCCCATTAGTCTGACTAATATTTGTGGTGTTCAATTAGGGTGACCACATTAAACTTGTACAGACACATTTAGATTTTTTGTACCAGATAAATATTGCTCTAATCGCAAAAACAAATTATATTAGTTGTATAGTAGTTTGGTTCATCTCTTAAAGTGTAGATATTTTTTTCCGTCAGTTGTATTGTATTACAAGCTTTCTGAATGTTGTTTTAAATATGTAAATTAGGTATTATCTAATTAAATATGCATTAATTGGTATACATTTCCAGAACAGAAATCTGAACATTGGATAAAGCCAGGTTCAAGTGAAAAGGTAAAAGCCTTCAGAATATAGATAGGAACAAAAGTATAATGTTTGTATTTAAGTTCTACTGAATTTTTAGCTCGGTGCAGGAGAAAAAAAAAACATTTTGAAGACCTTTTAAAAGTAAATAGCCAGAATTTACTTGTACATGGATTGTCTTTCCGATGTGACATTACCTCGTCTGAAGGCGTTCATACCACAGCTGTTGTCACGGTTACACATTGAAGCCCTGCTGCATGGCAACATCACCAAACAGGTTTGTATGAACAGCATTTTTTCTTGAAGACATACAGAAAAGGCAGGTCTGTCTCCAGACAGGTTGAAACTATTCCTTTTAAAATAAATGAACCGTACTGTTTGCTGTCTAATGTATGTTTTGGGATATGATTGATGAATCTCTGAATTTTGTTCTTCTTTTGTAAGTTGGTAATTCATTGAATTAGCTCACAAGTTGACAAAACATAACGTTAGATTTTGCTTTCAAGATCATGTTGTGTGATGTGAGCAGTGCAGTCTGTCTAACTCTGTTGTCTCCAGTCTGCTCTGGGCATGATGCAAATGTTGGAGGACACTCTCATTGAGCACGCTCGCACTAAACCCCTCCTGCCGAGTCAGCTCATTCGCTACAGAGAAGTGCAGGTACCTGACGGTAAGTGCTTAGCACCACAAACACCTATGCAACATCTGAGCTGGACTTACAGTCTTTCCTTCAGCTTTTCTCCAACTTTGAGCTCTGTATCCACACATACAATATACACCACTGTTCAAAAGTTTGGGGTTGGTAAAAATTGTGTAGCTGAAAGTGTTTACCAAGGCTGCATTTTTGATCAAAATACAGTAAAAACAGAAATATTGTGAAATATTACTTTTTCTATTGGAATAGATTTTAAATTGTAATTTATTCCTGTGATGCAAAGCTGAATTTTCAGCATCATTACTCCAGTCTTCAGTGTCACATGATCCTTCAGAGATCATTCTAATATGCTGATTTGATGCTCAAAAAGCATTTATCAATTGCAAAATCAGTTGTGCTGCTTATTTTTGTAAAAAAAAAATCTTTTTTTTTTTTCTTTTCGGGATTCTTAAATTATTACTCTATTTGAAATAAAGATCTTTTGTGACATGTCAATTTTGGTCAGTTTAATGCATCCTAAATCATAATCACAAAATTATTGCCTTGACCATTTAATATACAGGTTCTAATAAAAATGTAGTAATGAAAGATCCTTCAGACTTTTCACAGTCTAAAACAAAATCTAAACTTAAACTTTCATACCAGTTTGTGACAATTTTTTTTTAATATCAATTCTGTGTGACGTTAAGAAAACTACTTAAGTTTTACATTTTATATTCACGTTATGTGGGTTTTTTTAATACATTTTATAGTATGTTATTCCATCAATACATCTTCATAGGAATAAAGAAAATAAGATGGTATTAAGACTGTTGTTAAACTTGAATCTGTGGTGTATAATTTGAGGTCTATGATTTTTGTGTGTGTTTGTCATGGTTTTTGTTTAAGTCCAGTTCTCTGTGGTTATCAGGTGGCTGGTATGTTTACCAGCAGAGGAATGAGGTTCATAATAACTGTGGAATCGAGATTTACTATCAGACTGACATGCAGAACACCCATGAGAACATGCTGCTGGAGCTCTTCTGTCAAATCATCTCTGAGCCATGCTTCAACACGCTACGCACCAAAGAACAGCTGGGTAACACAAACACTCAGGAGAAATGCTCTGTTGTCTGTAGAAATACAGTTTTCTCTCTTGTTGTCTATCAATGTGACGATTGGACCAAGTATTTCTGTTCAGACTTTCACTCCCACTGCTCTTAAGAGCATCATTTATTTATTTATTTCTCTGTGTCTGTCCAACCAGGTTACATTGTGTTCAGCGGCCCCCGCAGGGCCAATGGAGTGCAGGGACTGCGTTTCATCATCCAGTCTGAAAAAGCTCCTCACTACCTGGAGTCTCGGGTGGAGGCCTTCCTCAAGACGATGGAGAAGAGTGTGGAGGAGATGGGAGAGGAAGCGTTTCAGAAACACATCCAGGCACTGGCTATTCGCCGTCTTGACAAACCCAAGAAGCTGGCGGCCGAATGCGCCGAGTACTGGGGAGAAATCATCTCCCAACAGTACAACTTCGACAGGGGTGAGTCACCGATCAGCTTTTGAAATGAACTCATGTTAGCATCAAGTATCTGAAGTTTTACAATCACTGACTTTGATTTTCTTTGTCTGATCTAGATAATATTGAAGTGGCTTACCTGAAGACACTGACAAAGGAACATATTATGCAGTTTTACAGGGTTGGTAATGATCTGAATACGTTGTCACACACTGAAACAGATGCTGTTTCTTGCAGCATAATCATAACTAGATTTGCATATCCTGAAGAAAATGTCCATGCTTGCAGCAAAATAAAAGTTCGGATTTAGGCTTTGGTTCAGTGGTAATGACATTTTCATAAAACGCACATCTTTTCATGATGGATAGGGTTGGTAATGATCTGAATACGTTGTCACACACTGAAACAGATGCTGTTTCTTGCAGCATAATCATAACTAGATTTGCATATCCTGAAGAAAATGTCCATGCTTGCAGCAAAATAAAAGTTCGGATTTAGGCTTTGGTTCAGTGGTAATGACATTTTCATAAAACACACATCTTTTCATGATGGATGAGAGTCTGCACACAATGTACACAGTCTTTGCCTTGTAAAAGCAGATGCATGATAAATAGACCAATCACAATTCAGTATGCAAATGCATGCAAAAAGGACCAATCTCAACGGCATTTGCAAATTATTTCATTGAGGCCATTGCTGTCAGTTACATGCTTAAACATTCTGTCAGGTTGGAGGGAGATTTTGGTCTCACTTTATTTTAAGGTTCAATTCTCACTATTAACAAACCATTAATTACGACTTTTGGCTCAAACTCCTAATTTGCTATTTCTTAATAGTTAATAGGTAGTTGTTAAGTTTAGGTATTGGGTAGGATTAGGGATGTAGAATATGGTCATGCAGAATATGTGCTTTATTATAAACAGCCAATATGTTAATAAAATAGGCATGCTAGTAAGCAAATAGTTAATTGTGAGAATTGGTCCCTATACTAAAGTGTTACCGAGATTTTCATTACTTTTATTACGTCTATTAAAAATATATATTAAATATTTGATATTATTAACATTGTTTTTTTAGTTATAAAACAGAGCACATTGAGTGTGTATAAGTAGTTTTTGAGTGCCTAATTTAAACTGGCTTGCAAAAACTAATAATTTTATCTTTAGATCTCCCAAAAATTAAATTCCTCATGTTGTCATGGGGTTTAATCGTCACGTCTGTTCTCTCCAGGACTTGTTGGCCATTGATGCCCCCAGAAGACACAAAGTGTCTGTGCATGTGCTGGCTAGAGAGATGGACTCCTGTGAGTACTGACACAATAAGGTTGAAACATTCTGATTTTACTGACTGAAGGAGCAGGGCACATTCATTTATTTTTACCATGTGTTTCCTGCAGGTCCACTGGTTGGAGAGTTTCCTGCTCAAAATGATGTCAATCTGGCTCCTGCCCCTTCACTTCCTCAGGTACTGCATAGATGTATATGCACAGTTTATGTGATAAGCATTTTTGCCAATATAAATAATTGAAGAAAACTGTCCAAATGTCAGATGATTGTACTCCACAGTTCAAAAGTTTGGGTTCAGTGGGTTTTTTAACGTTAAAGAAATTATATAATCTTACATTTTTATATTTAAAAAAAAATGCAACATTGATAGTTTGAGCTGCAAATTAGCATATTAGAATGATTTCTGAAGGGTCATGTGACACTAAAAACTGGTGTATTGATGCTGAAAATACAGTTTTGCCATCACTGGAATACATTACATTTTACAAAATATTAAAAAAGTGATGATTAACTTGTAATTTCACAATATTATTGTTTTTACAATATTAACATTTATTAACATTATATGCCCCCTAACTTTCAAACGATATGCTCATTGTGGTGATTTTCCATGGCCAAGCACTACTCTCATTTTCTTAAAAAAAACAACAACAACAAATCACTCATTGTGTTGCTTTGTATTGTGTATTTCAGCCATCATTGGTTCAGGATATGACTGAATTCAAAAGGAGTCTGCCGCTGTTCCCTCTCGCCAAACCTCACATCAATTTCATGGCTGCCAAACTGTGACCAGCATCATGGGATTGTCAGAGACGCCCAAATATGGAGCCAGTAACACCATTGTCTGTGTGTGTGAGTGTGCGTTTGTGTGTAAGCAGGCAAGGCCACGACGGAGCCGCTTGCAACATTTTTAGTTGTGCTCTGCGTCAGACATGCACACCTGATATCTCTTAGATACATAGAAAACATACAATGTTTGTTTCATGTTGCTTCTAACAGGGAATTTGTATCCCTATATAATATAGGAATCACTCGCTGGTCACGACGACTCACTCATTGTTCGGTTTCATTTCAAAATGCTGTTTCATTTCATTTACACCACTGTTAAGCAAAAACACGAGAAACCGTTTGGAGAGGCTGTTGTGTAATTTATCAAGACAAGTCTCTCTTGAAATGAAATAACTGGCCTTAAGATGATTTTAATCAGTGATCAGGTTTTCTGGCACCTTTTTTAAAGTTTAATTTAATCTATTTGCTTTGAGTTGTTTTTAGTTTCTGTGCATGTTTGGCAGAGTTTAAGGATAGTGTTGCAAATGCAAGGTGGTTAACTTGATGGATTTTGATTTTATTTGCAGTTGAAGAAATATCATAATAAACAATTTTAATATAATTTTCATTTGCTTATTTAAGTTACTTTGTCCTTGAACGATTCATAATATACCTGAAACCCTGACCTAAACTCAGTGTCATAATAGAAATACAAATTCCACTCATGAAACATGAATTATGTAAATCGTTTGTGAAAACCTCACATAAGAATGTTTTAAGACACAATTGAATGCAAGAGTTTATGCACCACTGGTTTTTCCAAACGATTTAACATGAATATGATCATGAATGATGCAGATTGTGTTTTTCAGGATGCTTAGTTCGATCAAACTCGCCCATATACCGATGTCCACATGCAACACGACGACATTTCAGGAGTTGTTGCGTGAAACTGACTCAGAAATCCCCTTTAACTGGGTTTGTTTTACTTCTTCTGTCTTGACTTGTGATTATGCACTCCTCACAAGCAATAATGTGACTTACAGGACCTATGACTAGTGTCTTAAACTCTACTAGGCGTTTTTCTTGACATGGTTTGAGCTTGGTTCCGAGAAACTGATTAGACGAGAGCTAGACTTGGTCTGTGCTGTAATTTACCTGCGCTGATGCAGGAACATCATGTCAGTCTGTAATCCATGTGTGTCCTCATCTCAGGTGTGTGTTAGCCTTGTCTCGAGCCAAGTCTTCAACATCACTTGTGTTTCTAGTGCTGAGATTTATTCTGGACTTACTCAGGTGTATCAAATCGACTGTATGCTGCATTTTTTAGAAACTCAACGACCATCCTACCACGTCCATCAAAATAATGAATACTGTTTCATGCTCAGCAAAACAAACTGATATCAGACAGGGTATAAACTTAGATGAGTTTGGTTGTATCACTAAGATGGATATAATCGGGCATCTCACTGCATTGGTTTTAGTGGTCTGTATTTTTGTTTTTGAATTTAAAGGAATAGTTCAGAGTAGTTCATCCATAAATTTAGTAATTGTATTGGTTCTCGTGGCGTTCCAATCCTGTATGACATTTCTCTTTCATGTAAAAAGAAGTTTGGTGAAATGTTCATGCAGTTCCTTTCCATGCAATGAAAGTGAATGGGGACCGTGACTGTCAAGCTCTAAAAACGGCATAAAAGAACCGTAAAAGTTGTCCATGTGACCTATATTTCAAATCTTCTGAAGCCATTTAATAGCTTTGTGACGGTGTTGTTATCATTAAACTCTTCAGTAATTGAAATAAAGTTGAAATAAAATATACATTTTAGATGGGGGGCTACATAAAGCTAAAAATAAATAAGAAACTAATAATTTCAAAACCACATACTAAAATTACTAAAACCTTAATTAAAATTAAAACTGAAAATACTAATTAAAAATATTAATATGCTATAGTGTATATAAATAATTCTGAAAGAACTGAAAATCATAGCTGCTTTAATGTAATTTTTATTTTTTCATAATTTAAATTGAAGTCTGTTCATCACAATACAATCATATGGCTTCAAATTATTTGGATTATTGCACAACCAGTAAGATGAAGACATGTTTGGTTTGCAACGACATGAGGATGAGAAAATGTCAATTTTCACTTTGGAGAGAAATGTAAATGAAGAACGTTGGGGTCCAAACTATTTTAGACCCAACTGACTTCCATTGTGTGAAGAAATATTTCTCAAAATATTTTCTTTTGTTTCCCAAAAAAAAAAAAAAAAAAAAAATCATACAGGATTGGAACGAAATGAAGGTGAGTTAATGATGAAAGTGTTTATTTTTGTATGAACTCATTTATTTGGCTCTGGGTCACTGAGTGCTTTTATTTTGTGGGGAAAAAAGCAGCTTGGACGTTCTGCTAAACATCTTTTTGTTCCGTATAGAGACAACCGGTTTGGAATGACATGAGGCTGAGTAAATGACACTTGTATTTATTTTAGTTTCGTGGGTGGGGGGTGAGCTTCTAGATTACTTTAAATTCCAAAGATGCATGCAATCGGAGCATTTGTTGCACCCCAAATCCCTTTAACTGTTCTAGAATCAGCTCAGAGTTCTGTAGGTCAGTGACTGCAACAGATGCTTGTGGTTCTCACCGTCTCCTGTAACCTGATGTCATGTGTTTTGCTCGTACTGTAGGCAGGATATTAGAGTAAAGAAATCTAGAAGAGCAGGATTTAATGAGAGTTACTCCGCATGAATGAGTGTAAGATGTTACATTCTGTCCAAATCCAAGGAATGGGCTTGTATGTACCAAACCGCAGTCATGAGGTGGAAACGGTTCTACGGTTGAGATCTCGTGTTTATTAGGTGGTTTTGAAGTGCATCTGGGGAATGTGTATCTGTGGGGGAGAGCTTTCTGTGTTTATGATAATTAAACAATCGTATGAACTCAATTGTGTTGTTTTTCTGTCTTTTTGATCTGCACTTAAGATTTTTCTTTGAAGATTGAACCTTAAACATTTAATTGAGGGATTTTTAGAGATGTAGTATTTAAAGGGGTCATATGATGCGATTTAAATTTTTCCTTTCTCTTTGGAGTGTTACAAGCTCTTGGTGCATAAAGAAGATCTGTAAAGTTGCAAAGACTAAAGTCTCAGATCCAAAGAGATATTCTTTCTAAAAGTTGTCAACCACACCTACCTAAAGCGGCTTGTTCTAACACGCCCCCACATATCTACGTCACAATGTGGGAGGATTTGCATAATGCCGCCCAAATGTTCACACAACGAAAGAAGGCGTAACTTTTATTCTCGCTGTAGTAGTGTTTTTGTTGCCGCCGCCGCCATGTTGTGAAGGCGCTGTGTGTTTCGTTGTGAAAGCGAAACTACTTTGTTTGGTCTTCCAAAATATCCGCTTCATCATGCCTGGAGCTGATCTGTGCTGGTCGCTGAGGAAATAGATCAACTTCACGCTGTGGATCGCTGGATCGGCTTTTTACCGTGGACGAAGCGGAGTCCAGCCCGGGGTCGTCACATGTGGTTGCCGCAAGCCTCCTTCGTCGAATCCGCCCGCTGCCGCTCACTCTAGACCGCCGGCCTCCGCTCACTCTAGCCCGCCGTGTGTGACGCAGTGTTTCGTTGTGAAAGCGAAACTACTTTGTTTGGCCTTCCAAAAATGGACACGACTAGAAATCAGTGGTTAAGTTGTATTTACAACACTGTTCCAGAACACTTCAACCCAAATATTCAGATGTGTGCAGCACATTTTATGGAGGACTGTTTACTGATCCTGGTAGAGTAGACTACAATGCCGGCTATTCTGACTCAAAGACTGTAAGTAGGCCGATCCTTACTCTAGCCCCCCGGCCTCTGATCACTCTATGCCGCCGCCACTCACTCTGGGCCACTGTGTGTGACGCTGTGTTTCGTTGTGACTACTACAACTACTTTGTTTGGCCTTCCAAAAATGGACACGACTCGAAATCAGTGGTTAAGTTGTATTTACAACACTGTTCCAGAACAGTTCAACCCAAATATTCATATGTGTGCAGCACATTTTATGGAGGACTGTTTCCTGATCCTGGGAGAGTAGACTACAATGCCGGCTGTTCTGACTCACAGACTGCAAGTACGTTTTTTTATATTTAAAGAATTTGCCACTGACTATTCAAACGCGAGTTTTGAGCAGTGTAGCGTAGCGTTTGTAGTTTGTCATTTCTCCGATCACAAATGCAGACATGGTTTTATGTTTACAACATTTATGTTTTATGTTTGCAATGCAACACGTAAAAAGACAGTACAAGCCATTATAATCCATAATTATGTTGCCACTCGATGCAACAAATGCCTAGTTTATAATGGGTTTTAATGTATTTGTCTCGTCGCTCCAGCCGGACAAGGCATCACAATATGGCAAAGGTAAAAAGACAGTATCTGTAATTAACAATAATCAAATCTGTAATTATGTCCCCACTGGATGCAACAAATGCCTCGTTTATAATGGGTTTTAATGTATTTGTCTCGTCGTTCCAGCCGGACAAGGCATCACAATATGGCAAAGGGCATAACATTTCCGTGTCACACTTGAGGAATTCGGCCAATCACAACACACTGGATAGCTGGCCAATCAGAGCACACCTGGCTTTTCAGACCGATGAGCTTTGTAAAAATCGACGCATTTCAGAAAGGCGGGGCATAGAGGAGAAACAGTAATGTACAGTATGTGGAAAATAATGTGTTTTTTAACCTTAAACCGCATAAACACATTTCATTACACCAAATACACAAAATAATGTTCTTTTTAGCAACATCATATGACCCCTTTAAAGGAATATTCTGCCTTAAATATAACTTTCAAACTTTGCTCAGCTTCACCTGTTATGCTATTGATTACTATAGAAAATAAGTTCAACATTGCCTTCATTAATGTACAGCAATGCATTTAAAATATACAGCTTTCAAAATTATCATGCAGAAGTGTTTCCAAAGTATCACATTTCCATGAGTTTGTTGCGTTTGTTGCATTTAGTGCCATATTTTGTATTAATTTAATATTTTATGTATTTATGTACTTTACTAAGTAATATGCATTTAGAGACATGTAGACGTGTCCCTACCATTGATCTATAAGAGTTCTCTTCTAGATGATGAGTTGCTCTAAATTAAAAAAAAAAAGCTTAAGGACTTATGAGTCAAACATTAAAGTGAGTTGCTGTTTTTGTCACTCTTCTGATGAAGATTTGTTCACTTGTTTGCAATGTACCCACACAGAGAAATTTGACTACTCGAAAGAGAATACAACTTAATTTGTGTTTCCTGCTAGCTAAATTTCACATACATAAAACCCTAAACCTGGCTCTCTTTTCTTTATTCAAGGTTGATCTATAAGTATACTGAAAGTTCTGTTAATCCTAAAGCAGTGAAAGCTGCACCTAATCATCCTGGATGTCCTCTTTAGGTGAAAAATAAACCCAAACATGGTTACTATTTAAACCATGGTATTTGTAGTAAAACTGTGGTTGTACAAAAAAACATGGTTCCTAACAAAACCATATTAATTCTTAAAGGATGTGGGTTTGTGTATTCTTTTTGTTCTTTCATCCTTTCTTTTTCTTTGTTTCCTTTTTATAACTGTACTGCCTTAATCGTTTGATGTTTTGTACTGTTAAAAAAAAAAAGATTTGTGATCTGCGCCCAGAAGTTTCGATCTAACGTTAACTCAAATGATTTGTGGGCCCGCTTGAGGAGGCGTTACGCGGGAAAATAAATTCAGATTTCTGTTACACAAGTAACGTAACGTTAGGCCTACAAGTCAGTATTTGAATACTTGCCAGAATACGCAAAGACGTCGGGTTAAAACTAGGGTAAACATTGTCGGTGCTTTTACAAGTTGGAGGAGAATTTGACGGAATATTTGTTTCAATCGAGTCACCGAATTTGGGGAGTAGCCTATCTTCTCGACAGGTAAGCTAAACTCAAGTTTTTGCCACTTACATTAGCTCTTTACTGTCAAGCCTCAGCAAAAACAGGAAGATATTGTAATTATAAGAATAACTGTAAGGGTGTAATAAGGTGGCGTTTGCAAAGAAGGCACAGAAACACTTCATCTTTAACTATAATAACCAGGTTGCAAAGCCATTAAAATAATTTCTGATGTTCATTGTAAGCATTATAATAGTCATATACTTCACTTGTACATTGTAAATTTATTTAATACTTTGCAATGTAGGAGGGACAAATAAGTTTGATATTCTTATTGTATTTTAATAAGCGTATAATGTATATTTGAATCAAAATGATTTAAAGAGAAGCAATTTTAAGCCTAGTATAGCCAGTAAAATTCGTTTAATATTTTAATGGGCTCATAAATAGCCCTACCTTAATTGCTGAAAGGATTCCTGCTTCCATTAATTTTCAGGGGTTTTATTTTGTTTGTACATAGAGCCGCCCTAAACTGTAAAAAAAAAAAATAAAGCAACCTATGGCACTCAACTTAAGTTAACTCAACTAGCAACCGACAACTTAACTTTAGTTCATCTAATGAATAAATTCAGTCTACTGAGTGTTAAAAGATCTGTCAGAGCAACCAAAAATTTTTTTAGCGTTTAGCAATGCTAATCTTTTTTAACAATCCTTTCTTTTAGATTTATGTTTATTTTCAAAGCCTTCTACATAATATGGGTAGTATTTGCCTCTTAAAACTAAAAGCAAATATAGACAAATGTATTAAACAATTTGCAATGAGATGCGCAAACAGTAAGTACAGCAGCAGCATAAATTAAGCTAGTAAAATTTAAAACTGATAATATTTTTTAATAACAAAATGTTTTCAAGCTGCA